GTTAGTTTCATTAATTTGTCTTCCAAGGTACTTCTTAGAAGTTGTCAAATTTATTTCAAAAAAGATTTTTCTAATATGCTTTCTATATCCTTTTAAATTCTGTAAAATCTGTGGTAATGTCTCCTAGGTCTTGATATTGTAATTTTAAAAATGTATTACTGATATTGTGTAACAGGAAGAAAAGGTCTAAAAGAGCAGGGTAATTGGGAGGGGTAGAGGAAGGGAAAAAAAGAGAAAGGAAAAAATATGAAAAGAGAAAAAAATGGAAACAAGGTCTTTGCAAATAGGGAAGGGTGGAGGGAATGAAGGGAGGGCAAAGGAAGGGGAAAAAAATAAGAACCAAGAGACTCATGTAATGGTACAAGATCCCAATGATGAATATAACTATTGTATACTGAAAATGTACCAATAAACTTAATGGAGGGGGGAAGAAAAGTTGCAAAGCCTGTGTCAATTAGAGTGGCCCAGTTTTGGTGTCAGTTGGCCCCCAGTGGGAAACTTATCTCTAACCATTGCTCACAAGGTTTAAAATATGGTCACGGGAGTAGGGGGCCCACGGCATCTGGATCAATTTCCCTATATTGATATTTAGATAATGATGTTAAAGGATCCCCCTAAATATTTATGCAATGCACAGGTCCCGATTGACCTTTGGTGACCCTGAACTGGAAGAAAAGGGGAAATCTGAACCGAAAGGGGGAGGCTCCCCCTTTGATGCTTGTGTCAGCAAACAAAGGTGTCCTCCAGTCTGACCCTCTGGACAACTTTCGCCGACCTTCCCCTTGTCACGCAGGAGGTATCAGCGCCCAGGGAAGGGGGCCTGAATCTCCCACCGCAGGCCCTTCTGTTGCGGACTCCTCCTCGGACCAGATCCACTCACCTCCCCATACTTGATCTGGACAGGACTATGGGCCATCGGCCCCGTCTTCCTCCTCCTTTTTCCCCTTAAAACAGATAGAGCCCAGGGGAGGATTGATGTCCCTTTCACAACTAGTGATCTCTATAATTAAAAACATCAAAATCCCCCCTTCTCTGAGAAGCCCCAGGCATTAATTTCTCTTCTTGAGTCTGTTTTTCATACCCATTAGCCAACTTGGGATGATTGCCAGCAGATCCTGTTCACCACCGAGGAGCGGGACCGCATTTATCAACAGGCAGTCAAGGAGGCCCTGGGGCCAAACCCCAGTGCCACTCCTGGAACCCCGGGGTATTCAGCCAGGGCTGAGGCTGCGGTTGTGTTGTGGTGCCCCGAATTGGACCCCAATGATGATGATGGTAGAAGGAGGCTGGGGACCTACCGGCAGCACTTATTAGGGGGACTCTGGGAAGCTGCCAGAAACCCCACTAATTTGGGTAAGGTAAGTGAGGTTCACCAGGAAGAAAAACGGAGTCTCTGGCTGCATTTTTAGAGAGACTCTTGGAAGCCTACTCCTTTTGAAACAGAGGCTCCCAAAAATGCAGCATCTTTAAATCTGGCTTTTGTTTCTCAGTTGGCCCCAGATAGTAGAAAAAGGTTACAAAAGTTAAAAGGATTTCAGGGAAAAAATAGGACTGAGCTCTTGAGTATTGCCCAAAAGGTTTATGAAAATCGTGACTCCCCTGAAGAAGCGGTGGCCAAAAGAAATTTTTTTAAAGTCACTATTGCAGCCTTGGATGCCCGTGAATCTATGGCACGAGGGAGGGACAGGCAAAGGAAAAAGGGACGCCTGACCTTAAAAAAGATCAATACACAATTTACAAAAAGTTTGGCCACTGGCAGAGAGAGTGCTCCTTCCGAGAGGTTAAAAAAAAGACTCCCACAGCGAGGGAACAAAAGGTCCTGATAATGGAGACTGCTGAAGATTAGGGGGGTCTGAGCTCTTTCACTATCAGCCCCTGGGAGCCCATTGCGGGGAACCCCCGACCGTTGGCTCTCCAATGCCTGACTGACCCAGTATCAAGCCTTACTCCTAGATCAACCCTGGATTCGCTTCACAAAAGAGACGGCCCTCAACCCAGCGACCTTGCTCCCCGATCCTGACCTGAACAAACCAGCTCACGATTGCCAGGACGTGATCACCTCCTACAGCACCAACCGGCCAGACCTCACTGCTGTCCCTATCCGAGAGCCGGAAACAGTATACTTCACGGACAAAAAGAGTTACGTGGAGGATGGGGTCAGGTATGCCGGGACAGCTATGGTCACACCGGAAGGAAAAATTAAATGGGCTCAGCCTCTAAATAGGGGCTCCTCGGCCCAAGAAAGCTGAACTGATAACACTGACTCAGGCTTTGCGGCTCAGCCAAAAAAAGACTGTAAATATTTACACTGACAGCCGGTATGCGTTTGCCACAGCCCATGTACATGGCGACATCTACCGGCAGCGAGGCTCATTGACCTCAGAAAAAAAAAGTATTAAAAATAAAAAAGAAATTTTGGCCTTATTGGACACAATTTGGGAACCCAGGGCATTGGCCATTTTTCATTACAAAAGCCATCAAAAAGGAGACAGCTTTGAGGCCCCCGGTAACCGAGAGGCTGATGATGCGGCCCGACGAGTGGCCAGAGAACCAGTGTGGCCCATAGACATGTTGCCCATCCAACCTTTTGGCTACTCACTGGAACTGCCCACAGTACACTCAGGAGGAAAAAAACCAAAAATGCCTAACTAGGGGTGGTAAAACAGAACTCCGGGAGTTGGAAATAACCAGATGAAAAAATCTGCCTACCTCAAGCCCTGGGCAGACAACTTCTTCAACAGCTCCATCACCTCACCCATCTAGGGGAATCCAAACTAAAAAAAACTGGTGAGTTCCAAATTCTCCATTCCGGGATTAACTTCATTGGTTACAGATATCTGTTCTAGGTGCCAAGTGTGTGCTTGAGTCAACCCCCGTGCAGGGCCCCATAAGGAGGGGGCCTGATTGAGGGGAACACAACCTGGAAAACACTGGGAACTGGACTTTACAGAGGTAAAATCTAGCCAAAGGTACAAATATTTACTGGTCCTAGTAGATACTTTTTCAGGATGGGTAAAAGCTTACCCTACCAGGACAAAGTCTGCTAATATGGTTACTAAAATATTACTCCAAGAGCTCATGCTCAGATTTGGTCTCTCACAGTACCTGGGGTCCAACAATGGCCTGGCCTTCATGGCTCAAGTGTCAAAATTATTGGTGAGGGCTCTAAATATTAAATGAAAACTACATTGTGCCTATCACCCGCAAAGTTCAGGACAAGTAAAAAAGATAAATAGACCTTTAAAAAAAAATTGACAAAGTTCATTTTGGAAACTGGCCATAGGTGGCTTGATTTGCTCCCTCTTGCGTTACTCAGGGTTTGATGTCAAAAAGTTCACTCCCTTGGAAAATCTCCACCCCCAAGAGGCCGAAGACCTCCATACCAATCTTAGAGATGTTAACCAAGGTTCATAAATTGCTAAATTTGTCTAGACCAGAAAATAAAGAGGAGATTGTTGGTTATGTCTAGACCCCAAACCCCCCTATTATGTAGGGGTGGGAGTGACCTCTGTGCCTAAATCTGTCTTCCACTGATTGTAACTGGAATAAACCTATGATAACTTTAGGGGATGTACAAGGAACGGAAACATGTCTGACTGGGACAAATTATAACCTGGATAGTTCACCAGGGTTTATGTAACTTAACTTTCACCAACCATAAAACTCCAGGTTCCCCTTTATATTATAAGGCTCCAGAAGATGCCTGGTTTGCTTGTACTGAGGGCTTGACCGAGTGTATACCCAAATCGGCCTTGGCCACTCAATCTGCCACTTTATTTTGTGTTACTGTGTATGTTGTTCCACAAGTCTTGTATTATAATGGGAAAGGAGGGTCACAAACATCTGGGATTAATCTCGGAACACTATAGGAGTAAATGAGCTGCCCCTGTCCTAGTGCCCATTCTGGTGGGGTTAGGGTTAGCCAGGTCAGTGGCTATTGAAACCTCCTCCCTAATCCTTTAGGACACAAATTTTAAAGCCCTAAGCCACCAAGTAGCTAGAGATTTGGGCCACCTGGAAGACTCGATTTCCAGGTTGAAAACAGGTTGATTCCCTAGCTAAAATGGTCTTAGAAAATCGAAGGGGACTTAATCTTCTGTTCATAAAACAATTATGTGTAGCTCTGGGGAAAACCTATTTATTTTATGCTAATCAGTCTGGTGTCATTAGAGATACCCTAGCTATGGTCAGGAAAAATTTAAAGACTAAATATGCTCAACAAAAGGATCAAAATTGGTTTCAAAAATCTATTTGACTGGTCCCCATGGTTAACTACCCTAGTTTCTGCTGTAGCAGGTCCCCTAGTTATCTTACTTCTGCTTTTGCTCGTGGGACCTTACATTATAAATGCTCTGACTAAATATGTCAGACAGAGGGTTGATGCAGTTAAACTGATGGTGTTGAGACAAAATTATGAGATTTTAAAAGACGTTTTAAAAAAATCCAAAGAGTAAATACAGGAATCAAAGATTTGATTAAGTTGCAAGAACCAATGGGGAATGAAGGACCCTAGTTAGCAAGACAGACTCCATATTGCTACTTGACCCACCTGCCTTGCCTGTCCTTTAGGTGAACTCAGAAGGAGGAAGCTTAGAAACCTCCTCCCCTTAAAGAGTCCCTTTAAAAATAACAATTAACCAACTATTGTTTTACAAATGTTTCACTTGCTTTGCTAGTTCTATCCCATAGGGGGGCCTAGAAACTGTTGGCCTCAAAGGCGTATAAAACATGTTTATCTCCCCCCAGTCAGGGCTCAAGTCCGATGCTGAGCTCAGGACTCGACCAGTAATAAACTCCTGTGTGGATTTAATATCGGTCTCTGGTTGGTTCTTTCTCGCTGGGTCTAAGAAAAAGTATGTGCATCCATAAGAAAAAAAATGAGAAAGGAATATTAACAGTGGTTATTTCTGGGTGGGGAGATGATCTGTTGCTTTCTTCTTTACATTTTTCTGTCTGAAAAGATGGTTATAACAAATATGCACTACTATTGTAATCAGATAAAAACAATAAACATATTTTTATTTTGCAATTAAAACAAAGAATAGAAACATGGTTTGGACATGGCAATGCACATCTGTAATCCCAGCACTCTTGGGAGGCTGAGGTAGGAGGATTGCAAGTTCCAGTCCAGCCTGAGCAATTTAGCCATGGAGCAAGATCCTGTCTCAAAATAAAAACATTTAAAGATCCTGTGTTCATTTCTCAGTACCAAAAAGAAAATTGGCGATATGGCAAAAATTGAAAGTGAAGAAAGATCCATCCAGGTGACCATGGGCTAGAATATATCTAATCCACAGGTCCTAACTCCTCCATGTCTTCAGTATCAAAACAATTACAGCTATATCCCTTTATGGGCCTGACCTGAAGATTATACACCCAAAATGTGCAGTGCTCACAAAGCTAAAGCACTTCCCATGCCCCTCTTTAGGGTTTACATCTTTGCACAATCCACTCCTGTTAAATGTGTGTATGACCAAAGGGACTGGCTGAATGTGAGTATATTAAAAATAAGGTTGATGGTCTGGGGATTTAGCTCAGTGGTTCAGGCGCCTGCCTCGCAAGCACAAGGTCCTGAGTTTGATCCCGGTACAAAAAAAAAAAAAAAAGAATCCATGCAAAAATTTGTACATGGACTAGGTATGGTGGCACACATCTGTAATCCCAGCTACTCAGAAAGCTGAAGTAGGAGAATTCCAAGTTCAAGGCCGGACTGGGAAATTTAGGAGAATTTGTCTCAAAATAAAAACCAAGACAAAACAAAAAGGATGGGGATGTAGATCAGTGTGAGAGCACTTACCAAGCATGCATAAAGCCTTGGTTTCATCCCCAGTACTGAAAAAAAAACAACCCAAAACAAAACATTGTACTTGAATGTTCAGACCAGGGTTATAAATAACAGACAAAAGTGGGACCTGGGATTTAGCACAGTGGTGCCGCCGCCTGCTTCGCAAGCTCAGGGTCCTGAGTTTGATCCCCGGTACCCAAAACAAAACAAAACAAAAACAGACAAAAGTGAAAGCAACAAAAATGCCTGCCAAGAGATGAAGGGATAAACAGAATGAGGCCTATCTGTATAGGGCACTATTATTTGGCCACTAAGGGAATGAAAACACAGGCCCAGAGTTTTGGTTTTTTCACTGCTGGGGTTTCGACCCAGGGCCTCAGCCAGGTTAGGGAAGTGCTCTGCTCCTGAGCTACAACTGTGGCATGTTTTATTGTTAGTTTTATTGTTATTCTATTTTGAGACAGGGTCTTGCTATGCAATTCAGGTTGGCCTCGAACCTGTGGCAATCCTCATGATTCAGCCTCTCGAGTGCTGGGATAACAGGCGTGTACCAATACACCAGCTTCCTATCAGATATTAGAATATGTTACAAGGCCAGAAAGGTAGATGATGTCAGGGAACTAGAGAGAAATAAGATGGAGCCTTATTTCATATCATATAATAACTTCAGGTAGATTAAAAACCTTAATGAAAACAAGCAAAAGTATAAATTAATGCCTATAATCCCAGCACTTGAGAGGCTGAGGCAGGAGATCACTGTGAGTTTGAGGCCAGCATTAACTACATAGTGAAACTCTCTCTCAAAAAACACATAAATAAGACAAAATATACAGTTGTGCTGTCACCTGCCTGTAATCTCAGCACTCTGGGAGGCTGAGGCAGGAAGATTGCAAGTTCAAGCTCGGCTTGGGCAATATAGCGACTTAGTGAGACCTGGTGTCAAAATAAAAAATAAAAGGCTGAAGATGTAGCTTAGTGTGAAGGTTCTGGGTTCAGTCCCCAGTACCATTATAAAAAGGAAAAAACAAAGACCTCGTACAGTGAGTTCACAGACAATGCCAGGCTGGAAAATGACATTTGCTATGTCTGAAATAGCAGAGGTTAAACAAACAGTACAAAAGGTACTGCAAGAGATCATAACAAAAGAGAAAGTAGCCTCTGTCTTTCATGTGCGGTTATGTCAACTTTCATTTTCTTGCAGGCAAAATTCCTCCCCTTTCCTTTCATAAAAAAACACAACAGTTTTTAGGTATATTTTTTCATTTTTACTATTAGTGCAGAAGACTGAGTTTGCTCTTTTGTGTGTGCCTATAGCATACTTTGATCATTCTCTCCCCAAATTACTCTCCTTCCTCTTTCCACTCCTCCCCCACACCCTGCTTCTTCTCTAAGAGTCTCCTTTCTCTTTCCATCATTTACTTTTAAAATTTCCTAGATTCCATATATGAAATAAAACATGATATTTACCTCTCTGAGTCTGACTTATTTTGCTTAACATAATAATCTCCAGTTTCATTCATTTTCCTATGAATGACATGATTTCATCCTTTATGACAGAATAATATTCAATAGTGTACATATATTAAAAGGTATAATAGATGATGTGAAATAAGAAGAAAAGGGGCAAAGGGGAAGGGGAAGTGGGAGGGGTAAGGGAAAGGAAAGAAGGGAATGGAATTAATATGAGAAAATGAAAAAAAGGAAACAAAGTCTTGGTAAATAGGGAGGGATGGAGGGGTTGAAGGGAGGGGATGGAAATAGGGAAAAAATAAGAACCAAGAGAGAATATGTAAAGGTGCAAATTTCCAATGATGAATGTCATTATATCATATACCTAAAATGTACCAGTAAAATTAATTTAAAAAAAAAAAAGAAAGAAAATTGGGCCGGGGATTTAGCTCAGTGGTTTCGTCACCTGCTGCGCAAGCGCAAGGACCCAAGTTCGATCCCTGGTACCAAAAAAAAAGAAAGAAAATAGTCCTTCTAAGTCACTATGGGAAAAGATGTATGAAAACAAATGGAAGGCAATCTATAGCATGGCAGTTAGCTAGGAAGAGTTCATTACTTGAAAATGTATTATAAATACCTAGATTTTAATGATCAGGAATTTGCCTTTGAAGTCCCATACTTAAATTGTTTTAGCCATGCAGTGCACTCTTGTAATCTTAGTGCTTGGGAAGCTGAGGCAGGAGGATCACTGTGAGTTCAAGGCCAGCCTGGGCTACATAGTGAGACACTGTCTCAAAACACACACACATACACACACACACATACAAACACACACACACAATTTTAAGGTACCATGGACTCTTGACTTACAAACTCAATTTGTTTGCAAGGGCTGGTTGTAACTCAAGTTGGTTGAAAGTCAAGACTACTTTGGAGCTGAGGTGGCGGCAGCTGAGGAGGTAGTGGTGGCGGCCGCTCTGGAGGCTGCAGTCCGGGTCCTGGCTTGGGCCCCAGTCCCATCTTGGTGATGCTTGCTGAGCTGCTGGTGCTCCTGGCTGCTCTCCTGGCCATGGCCTCGGGCTACTTCCTTAGCATTGATGCACATGCCAAGGAGTGTTTCTTCGAGCGGGTCACCTCGGGCACTAAGATGGGCCTCATCTTCAAGGTGGCCAAGGGCGGCTTCCTGGACATCAAAGTGGAGGTTACAGGAACTGATAATAAAGGGATTTATAAAGGAGACCCTGAGTCCAGTGGGAAGTACACATTTGCTGCACACATGGACAGAACATACAAGTTTTATTTTAGTAACAGGATGTCTACGGTGACTCCAAAGATAGTGATGTTCACCATTGACATAGGGGAGGCTCCGAAAGGACAAGACATGGAAACAGAAGCTCACCAGAACAAACTGGAAGAGGTGATCAATGAGCTGGCAGGGGCAATGACTGCTGTGAAGCACAAGCAGGAGTACATGGAGGTCCGGGAAAGGATACACAGAGCCATCAACAACAACACAAACAGCAGAGTGGTCCTTTGGTCCTTCTTTGAAGCTCTTGTTCTAGTTGCCATGACATTAGGACAGATCTACTACCTGAAGAGATTTTTTGAAGTCTGGAGGGTTGTTTAAAAGGACTTTTCCTCATGATCCTAAACTCATAATTCACTTGTTTACCAAACACCTTGGTCATAATAGTGTCATTAGTTTCTACATTTTTATTTTTGGACCTGTACATTCACAGCTTATGTTTCTTTGTGATTAATGGATACTGGGGGGGAAAACTTTTTAGGAAAGTTATAGTGAAAATTTGATATTTGACTGGCATAAAATTTCTTATTTGAATGCTGCCTTCGTTATACAGGTCCTTCCAGAATTCAGACACTGTAAACAGAATACAGGAGTCTAGTTTTTTATTATGCTTTATCTTTTTGTTTTCATTTAAAAAGTTTGTTCAGGAATTCGGCATAAAGCCTGATAGAACCTTATTACAATGACTGCAGTCTCTGGACTCCCTCCTCCTGTGGCTCAAGTCATTAAAGAGTCACTTTGCCCAGCTGTTACATGAAACTGTGATTTCCATCCTGCATTTTCTCCCTGGCATAACAGCAGAGTGCTCTGACCTGGGAGTGTGTAGCAGGCTAGCTCCTTTTATACTTTCCCCTAGTGTGCTTCAGTCTACGACTTGCCCCAACACACATTTCCCCCTAAATTTTTCCATTGAACCTTAAGACTGAATCACCCTCCACTTCAACTAGTGACACAAGCAGCGAAACTGACCGCTGTTTTCTGCCTAGCCTCCTAAGAAACCTCTGTAAAGCCAGTTCCCCAGGTGTTTCAGCAAATGCCAGCTACTCTCTGCGCTGGGACATCTCTTTTCTCCACTCTTGGCACATAGGAAATATGCAATCACATCATTGGAAAAATCGGGATTTCTGATGCCAAAGGGTTAAAGCCTCTTGGGTTTCTTTGCAGCCACTATGTTTTCTTCATTCAGAGCACTGAACACCAGTGTCAGGGTCAGCACTGTGGTTCTTGTTTTTGTTTCTCCTGGGTCTTTCTCTTTTAGGGCACGTGAATTTTGTTTTATAGAAAAGGAAAAGATTTTCTTGCTCTCTGATGATGGGTTTAAGATTAAAGGAGCTTCTAGTGGTGTGGCAGTGATCCAGGATTATGTTGTGACTGATGTATATTAGCTACTTGTACATTTTTTTGATCTTTGCAAGGGGAAAACTATAAGTAACAATTTTATATAGTTAATTTAAATTTGTTACAGGTTTTCATGTTCAAGACAATTTTTCAACCTTGGGTGAAAATACTTGCAACAGTTTACTGATAAGGTGACTGTTTCACCTTAGGACAACTGTTGCATGCCAATTTTTTTGTGTGTGGAAACACCTCAAAATTGAATTAAAATATGTAAATTTAAAATTGGCTGTGTATCTAATATGCCCCAGGTTCAGAAAAAAAACAATTCTTTTTTTTAAAAAAGAGACTACTTTTCCCATAAGAAATAATGAAAATACCCATAATGTGTTTCAAACCTCCCAAAGTACCCCTTAACTAACCTTTTTGTAATAAAAAGGGTTGTCTAATGTGCATAATTTATAAGAAACACAACAATTTTCCTAGTATATTCACCAAAAAGTTATAAAATGTGCCTGGTTTACCAGAAACAACAATTTCATACTGTACTCACCATTCAAATTGACATCTTTGGCTCGCAGGAAGGGAGGAGGAAATAGAAGGTGGTTATTGTTTGGCAGGAGAGTCCCCTTCCATAAGAACATCAGAAATCTGGCTCTTTGTTGTCCTTTCTCTCCTTGGGAGAGTCTGCAGCCCACTAGGACCTGCTTCTGGCTCACTAGGTCTCAACCCTTTCACAACTAAAAACTGGTCTAAGGTTGTCTGTTTCTGTGTTTTCTTTAATACTGCTCCGTAGTATGACATGACATTGTCATTAAGCAAGTGAATGCAACAATTGGCTTTTTCGCTGTCTGGTTGGGTCTTCTCTACAAATGTTTGTAGCTCTGTCTATTTTTTCAGGATTTCCTTTATTTCAGAAGAAGAACTTTGCTGCACTGATTGCTGATGCTCCCCCTCTTCAGAAAGCTCCTCAGCTGCCATTCTCTGTTGCTCAGCCAGAAGTTGCTGAACTTCCTCTATAGACAATTCCTCTTAGTGTTCCTCCACCAGTTCCTCAACATCACCACTGTCTACCTGGAAGCCTATGGGCTCTGCTAGAGTGACAATATCATCAACCACAGGGTCAACTGAAGGCTCAGGCTCCTCCACACAGCCTTCAGTCTCTCTCCTGTATAATTTTAGGCCACACTTTCTTCCAGGCAGATTTCAGTGTCCTAGGGAGACATTGGCCCAGGATTTCTCAGTTAACCCCACACAGGAAAGTGTGTTGTAATGTTCATTCCAGAACTCTTTAAGGGATAAATCTGTATCTGAGAATATCTGAAGCACTTCAGGAACAGTTTAGTTCTTTGGTGTATACCTTCTTTAAGTTAGCTAACCTACTGGCTGCAGTAGAGGAGATGTATTAGGTGGGAAGAACTTGACTAAGAGCCATGGGAACTTTTCAGCCAATTCTTCCACATCTCATGGATGGGCAGGAGCAATGTCCATGATGAGAAGAGCCTTGAGTGGTAATTCTTGAGTGGTACCAGGGATCAAACTCAGGACCTTGCACTTGCAAGGCAGGCGGTGGCACCACTGAGCTAAATCCCCAGCCCCAAACCCTCTAGGTATTTCTTAACAATAGGACAGAAGGCCTCCCTGATCTACTCAAGAAAAAGTACTTTTGTTACCCAGGCTTCTGGGATAGATCTCTACATGACTCCTAGCCTATTCTTCATAGACTTTATATTTTCTGAACACTCTAGGCATCTCAGAGTAATAAACCAAGAGAAGCTTTATCTTGAGGTCAACACTCACAGTGGCACATAGCAATAAAGTAAACCTATCCTTCATAGGCATGTGGCCTGGCATTTTCTTCTCTTCCTCGGTAATGTATGTTCTCCTGGGTATTTTCTGCCAGAAAAGGCCAGTTTCATCACAGTTGAAAACTTGATGAGAGCAAAAGCCATTTTTCTGAATCATTGTTTTGAAGTGATGTATGTAATTTTCAGCAGCCCTTTTATCAGCACTGGCTGCTTCATCATGCCTAGTTAGGCTATGAACCCCAGTTCTTGCTTTAAAATTCTGAAACTAACCTTTACTGGCATGAAATGTTTCACCATTATCACTCATTGATGGATTATCCTTTATGAGATCTACATTTATAGCCCTAGATTTTTCACAAATTATAGACTCATATAGGCTGTACCCTGCCATCTGCCTTTCATTTATCCACACTAATTATAGCCTCTCTACCTCATCTAACACTGTTGATTGTGACTTACTAATTTGAGTAACACCTTTAGCAACACTAACTTCCTTATACAAAGTTTTTCCCTATAAGATTGTGGAGACTGTAGATTTAGTGAGATTAGTGAAATCAGTCACATGAATACCACTCTCATATTTCTCCACAATTCCTTCTTTTTAACTGTGATTGCTTTCTTTACCACTCCTTCCTTCCTGAGCTTCTTTTCTAGCTTTCTTGGTGCCATTTTGATAGCAGTAAGTGTAGTGATTATATAAAGCACAGACTGAAATCACATCCACAAACATGCACATTTGGGCTCAGACTGATGCTTACATATGCTTCTCTGGCATCAAGAGTTTTTGTTTACAACCACAAAGTGGCCAGCATTTGGGTCATAACTCAGGACTTTGGTTGTAAGTTAAAACTAAAATTTCAGTTGTAATCCACCCTGTTCATATGTGAAGTCATTTGTAACTCAAGGGTCCACTTTTTTTTTTATTGAGTTTATTGGTGCATTTTAGGTATACATTATGATCACATTCATCATTGGGAATTTGTACCTGTACATGATATATCTTGGTTCTTATTTTTTTTCCCATTCCCCTGCCCTCCCTTCAACCCCTCCACCCCTCCCTATTTACATAAGTTTTTGTTTTGTTTTTGAGACAGGATCTCACTATGTAGTTCAGGTTGGCCTTGAATTCATAATACAACCCAGCTGTGCCTCAAACAAACTCACAGCAATCCTCCTGCCTCAGTATCCCGAGTGTTGGGATTCCTAGCTTTCTTGACTTGTTCTTTTTTTTTTTTTTGGTACCGGGGATCAAACTTGGGTCCTTGCACTTGCACAGCAGGCAGTGAAACCACTGAGCTAAACTCCCGGCCCTCCTAGCTTTCTTTTGTATTTTATTTTGAGACAGTGGCTACATTGCCCAACCTGTGCTGGAACTTTTGATCCTCTTGCCTCAGCCTACCAGAGTGCTGGGATTACAGGCATGTGCCACCATGCTTGGTTTATATTTTAATGATTATGTATTTTTTGTGTAAAAGAATCATAATCATAGCACAAAAGCACAAACATTACAAAGCTGTCTATGAAAAGATTTGTGGCTGGTTGTGGTGGTGCACACCTGTAATCTCAGCTCTCAGGAGGCTGAGGCAGGAGGATCACCTTGAGTTTGAGGCCAGCCTAGGCTACATAGTGAGTTCAAAGCCAGCCTGAACTGCATAGCAAGACCCTGTCTCAAAAATAAATAAATAAACAAACAAACAAATAAATAAATAAATAAGGTTTGTACCGGGGATTTAGCTCAGTGGTTCTGCCACCTGCCTCGAAAGCACAAGGTCCTGAGTTTGATCCCAGGTAGCAAAAAAAAAAAAAAAGATGAAATAAAAAAAGATTTGTGAGCCAGGCTTGGTGGTCCATGCCTGAAATCCCAACTCTCAGGAGACTGAGGCAGGAGGGTCATCATGAGTTCAAGGCCAGCCAGGGCTACATAGCAAGAATGTCTCCAAAAACACCCCCCCACACACAAATTTTTTCTAGAATTCAGGACTCCTTCCCATTTATAAGTCTAAACAAGTATTACGGCTCTGGACTAAATTACATGGGAATTCTGAGAGAGACCTAGTGCGTATTTGGCCTTTGTCAGACCCAGTACCTCTGGCAAAGCATATGCAGTACCCTTGCTTTCCCTTCACACACCATCAACCACCGCTGCAACTCCATACCCTCCTGAAGTGCTTGAACCAGGGAGACCCCCAAGCTTGCTCACCCTCTTAGGAAGCTGTCCACCCCCAGAGACCTGCAGAGATGCCCCCCAGCTACCCTGACACATTTCTGTCGTAGGAAGCTATGATTCAGAAAGAAAAACTGAGATGACCCAGCCACTTCG